TTTGACTAGATTTTGCGACAAGCCTCATTATCTTCACGGCTGCTTTCATTTTGTGGCCGCCAAAACATTTTTTTTTTCACATCTTCGCAATTACTCGCCTCCGTAATGCTAGAACATAAACCACCATACACTTATTACTATTATAGAAGTATTCATCCCATGTCCTGATGGGAGGGCTGAGGTAGCTAAATTGGTGGCGTGCGGGCTCTGTTTTTAGGAGAAAAAGATTCCTAGTTCGAGTCTGCGTCGGATTTATATTTGACAATTCTGTTTCAGCAGGAAATAATTGAGATGGATTTTCAGTAACTATATTGAAAACCTTTTAAAGCAATCGCGAATACTTTTAAATAAGATAAATAAACTGAAACTGTGTGTATAATATTTGAATTTTTAACTTTTAAACAATTTTTTACATCTCTTATTGGATTTTTAAACATATGTCTTGTCAAATCAAGTGTCTTTACACACTTATGAGTATTATTAAAGTGCCAAATCGTTGTATAACCCGGGCGACCGAGATGGTTAAATGTCGATTTTGGTCAGAGTATTTCGTGTACAAAGGCGTCTGTCTCCAGGGGTGTTCAGGGATAATATTTTGTTTTTGTTTTTAACCAGCAAAAATTATTTACCGCGTCGTGTTATGCCTTCCGAGCTGCAATCTTTTAACCCTGAAAATAGGACCTATGCCACTTGTCACTTAGTTTTTTTGAAAATGTTAGTATTTTCGACCATTGTTCCGTGCATTAAGTGCAATTTTAAAAATAACAAAAACAAGTTTTTCTTTCAAAACAGGCTCCAAATTGTTTCTTTAAACTTTTGGTTGGGATTAATTGTAAATGTACTCTATAAGATGACATAACTCGGATTTTCTCTATTTTTTGTTTTTTCAATAACTACAAAAATGTATTTTATGCCTGTGTTTCACGCCATTAATATTTGTATTAGCGGCGATATGTTTACATTATTATATTTATGACAGCATGTGCTTTAAATGTCATAAAAAGTTTCTCGAAAACTCAATAATGTTTATGAAAACAAGCTCAAAATTCCGCATTTTTTCAGAAACGCTCAAATGCCATTTTCTCAAAAACGGCTTCAAACTTTTTGAACGGATAGTTCTTATTCCACTTTTTAATATAACCTAAAGTTGATTTTAGGGCATTTTTTGTTTCTTTAAAAGTTATCTAAATATACTTTATTGTAATATCTCTCTAATATAAACATGTCCAGTCATTTTAAACACTATTTTATTTGTGAGTTAAAATGACAACAAATGAAGTTTTTCGAAAACTCAAACATTTTCTGTGAAAAAAAAGCTTCAAATTTCGAATTTACAGTAGCCATTTTCTTAAAAATTGCACCACATTTTTCAAAGAAAATTTTCATTTAGAAAGAAGTTTTTCTTTTCTTTAATTTTCTTAAAATAATATTTCCTTGCTATCAGAAAAACGAAAAATTAAGCAATTTTAAACAAAATGTACTTTGGGCGGTGTTAGACGACAGCTGGCAATAGTATTTGGCTAGTCCGAATAGCTAGCCGACCCCAAAGGAATTAGAAAACTGATACGGGAAAGTCTGCGCCATTCTGTTGCACCAATAGTTTCGTTATTAGGGCCCGGCAATTAATTTTTTCCTGCCGAAAATCCGCCGTTTTTTTCGCGCAGCATTACATAACATTCCGTATTCTACGTATATTACACCGTATATACTTATGTATACAGAAAAGTAAAAATATACTTTCATTTTAAAAAAACATTTATTTCAATATCTTGTAAAATACAAATGATGAAACAGAAATGAATGTGTGTATCAATTAGCTCCATTTCCGCACGTACTTCCGCGAAAATTACACTGCAATAACTTTAACCGTTAAAAAACTGCAAGAGGTACAAGTCTGGTTCCGGGATCATTGGTCACCAGGATTTTTGTCCAACTTGCATCGCCCCATCTGGAAGTAATTCTCAGCTCCCGACAAGTGGAGTTGTGTAGCGCACGTAAATTTACATTGTGAAGAGGTAGAAGCAAGGATGAAGAAGGGAAGATCGCATGCAACCCGTTGCCTGTTTTTACAAGGTATTGCTGTAACATTTCCTTGGTATTGATCGGAGAGACCAAAGAAAATTACTGATCAGAGCAGACGTCCGCTAGAATTTTCCTCCATACAGTGGCTGAATTCGTTTCAGCTATGTAGCTAGTGTTCATGTGGGGACTCGGAACTTATCTCCCAATCAATGATGCTGCAGGGACAACGACGACTTCATTTGCTAAATAAATAGAGATATTGTCAGGTATCAATATTTTAATTCAACTAATGATCATTTCGATCGCGTAGCGATCATCCTCAGAGCTAAAAACAATACAAATATACAATGTGAAATATTAACAGGTTGGTTGGAGCGAATTCGCTCACCCGACCGTCTCTCAAGCATCCACCAGCACCCGCACGTTTTACGACCCTTCACCCGCACCCCTACCCTCTTCCCGCCCCCTCCCGCTGCCGACCGGCTGTGCTCTTAAACAAGACACACGCTCAAAAATTCGCAGAACTTTGTTTTCGGCCCAGAAGCTGCAAGGTATGTACGATCCAGTTTGCTTACGCATCTTGTATACAATAACCAACCTGTTAATATTTCACATTGTATATTTGTATTGTTTTTAGCTCTGAGGATGATCGCTACGCGATCGAAATGATCATTAGTTGAATTAAAATATTGATACCTGACAATATCTCTATTTATTTATCAAAATAAAAAAAGGTATCTACTTCACCAACAATCCAATTAATGACTTCATTTGCATTAAAAAGTTGATTCATGTATTTCTTCTACATGTGTTGTAAAAATTATATTGTGCGCCTGATAGGGTTACGAGAATGTGTACGTTACAAGCAAGCTACTCGGAAGATTAAATTATTCCCCAATAAGTTGCCATTATTACATCCTTATCTATACTGATGTGCTTTATGTAATTATATATTTATTTCAGTAATATGCATTTCTTTAGGGGTCTTCCCATCGTCAACGAGAATAATGGAGAGCTGTGGGTTGGGCCCGTGTTTTCGGCCGACTTGGATGCAGCGTTTTGCAACACCTTTCTGGTTCTTAATAGTGTATGGAGTTCTGGGCACCACTCAAGCTATGGCGTTCATTTATTTCGTAGCAACACTCACAACTGTGGAGAAGCGCTTCAAAATTCCTAGTCGAACAGCAGGTAAATGATGCTAAAATTATTTTGTTCTTACCTTTTATGAATGACTTAGAAAGAAATTAGTTTGAGACGTAGATTCGGAAGAATAGTCTTGTTAAGTGTTTGAATCTATCACCTCAAACGAAACTATTTTATTAGAAATGACTCAAATATAGGGTAATAAGCCGCATTTTTTTCAGTATCTTCTTAAAAAATGTTTAAAAACACAAATGTAGAAATAAACGCAAAGGAAATAGAGAAAAATAATAATTTTCACTCTAGATGTACTCTCAAAATTGTTACTTCTATTGTTACTCTTTTTATTTAAAAATTAGCTTAGCTTGGATGTCTCCGGAAGTGGGTTTCATCCTGTTCACAATTTCGATGTGTTCTATGCTACTTCGTATAAAAAATATTTTAGAAACCATAAAGTAGTCCGGTTATACTCAGGAAGAGCCATAGACGAAAACGTATCGATATAAGTACTTTTTTATGTCTGTATCATTACTATAGAAGGTTTTTTCAATCGCCAATATAATGAAAAACAGTGTTTAAAATATTAAGTCATGTCCCAAGGATTAACTTTGAGCCGTAAAGGCAGTATTTGCGCATCCACATATTATTACATACCATTTCAGCACTTAAAAGCCGCAGAACATGCTTTTTCGGGAATTCTTACAGAAAACTTTCCAAATATCGAGTTAAAAATTGAACTCATTGACTCTTTTTTTACTTTCTCGTATACTTACATATATTCGCAGTAATGATTGTAGTATAAGGAAAGAATGTAATGCTGCGGAAAATCGATTTCGAGATTTCAACGGAAATACGTTTGGGCTTCCACTGATACCGAAAAGTGGTTCTTTTCAAAACGTCCGTCCGTCTAACCGTCCGTCCGTCTAACCGTCCGTCCGTCTATCCGTCAGTCCGTCTATCCGTCAGTCCGTCTCTCCGTCAGTCCGTCTCTCCGTCAGTCCGTCTCTCCGTCAGTCCGTCTCTCCGTCAGTCCGTCAGTCCGTCAGTCCGTCAGTCCGTCAGTCCGTCTCTCCGTCAGTCCGTCTCTCCGTCCGTCTCTCCGTCCGTCTGCCTGACCGTCTGCCTGACAATCTGTTTGTCAATCTCTGAACACCACTAGCGACTAAACTATGCGACCGATTTTTAGCCAAAATGGATATTTCTTTGTCCATCTGGCTCCACTCGAAGCGCCGCGATTTTGGAAAACTTTCTTAAAAATTTGGAGGTACTTTATATGAAACCATTGGGACATGTTCAAAATTTTCTCAAAAATTGCTCCAATTTTTTTAAAATTTCTTGTAAGAATAGAGTGAAAGCGGCATGTCTGATTTTCCAATTTTGACATTTTTAGGGCAATATTGAAAGAGCTTGTTGATAGAGACAACTACAAAATTGATAGAGATTTTTCCTTTAAATAAAATGTGTTCTTCGTAGTGAGTTCTGTCATTAAGGTTCTGTACATTTTTTGAAAATTTAAGTAGTTTTTGCGCAATATTGCGTGTAATATGAGTGGTTTAAAAAATAAACAATATTTTCGTAAAAACTGGTCCCAACATTTTCTTTAAACTTTTGGTTGGGATAGTGTAGATTTACTCTATAAGATGATATAAACGCCATGTTGGTCTATTCTTTTGTTTTTTCAAAAATTAAATAAACGTAATTTTGGACGTGTCTCTCTCGTTAATTAGCGGCAATTTGTTCACATTAGTGTATTTGGAGCCGTTCGTTCGATGCTGCCTTGCAAGTTTTGACTTCAGTGGACTGTATTATTTATTTTAAGATGGTTCTTCGCTAAACAGTCTCGAAAACCTTTGATAGCTCGTTTTTTGTTTTTTCTTGTTTTTAATATTATTATTATTATTATTATTATTATTATTATTATTATTATTATTTTATTTCCTCCTGTTCGGCATTGCTGCCTTTTAGGGGTGTTAACATTTTACAAAATAATGCTTTGACATTCGTTCTCAAGCTAATTGTCCTGAATATTTCAGGCTGTTTTCAATGTATAATTTTGAAAATTGATAGCTCGTGAGTGCGGGTGAAGGGAATGTATCCGATTTCACTCACACACAAAAGTTGCACAATAACATGTTTGCCTGGATATAAACTTACTGGAACAATGTACAGTTCATATAATTTAAAAGCTTCAATTGTACAAGAAAAGTTCGCACCTCGGTCTCCAGTTATATGCTATTGGTCCAAAAGACGCCATAACCGCAGGAACCAATCCCAAGAAACCACAATATAACCGGGTGGCAATTACGTATAGCAGGCTCGTTTATTTGTGATTTAACCGGAGCCATTAGCGTGATCGGTATTTTTGATTTGCCATGAATGCTCGACTATGATTTACACCTTTTGGACGATTTATGCCTTTTGAGGGAAGTGCTGGGATCCAATCCATATGAAGACGCCCCAAGGTGGGATGAAATTGCTAATATGTCTCTGAAGTAACAGAAAAAGCGTTCTCCGTGAGAACTCGCAGCGAACATGTCCCGCATCTTCTAAAATTGTGGACCATAGCGACAGAAGCAATCTAAGAAAGTAAGTTATTATAATATTTACCTACATTATTTTTATTATTTGCGACCTGTCCGTGCTATTCTGTCTGACTCAAGTGTTTGAATTTCGCTTCATGGTTACAGCTCATGGTTGCTTCATGGTTACAGAAAAGTATGATAACCTCAATTTGAACATATGACACTCCTAAGTACAAACTACTGCTTGTCACCTGAATTTTCATTTATCCGCCAATATTACAATGAAATGACTGGATTTGAAATAATAATACATATTGTAGGTTTTTAATTTTGAAATAATTGATTAGCTAGTGAACTTCAATAAATTAATTCAGAATTCCTCGAAGAATAAGCAGGTAAGTAAAACTGTTATAGAAATAAAAAATGTAATCAAGATTTTATTCCATGATATACTCGGGGTTTTTTAATTGACAGCGAATTCCCACAAATCTTTCCTCAAATAATCTGTAATAAACATTATGACATATTCATGTTGAACAACAGAGTGACACAAAAATACGAAAAGATACATTGTACATTATATGAAGATATTTTTGTACTATGTATTGTTCAACAAAAGTATGATCTAAATTTTATTGTTAATTGCAGATTGCCCAAGGAAGAATTGAAAGTGGGAATGCATTGTAAAATAAACAGCATTTACTTTATTATGGAATAAAAACGTCATTCGAAGCTTTATATTACGATTGTTTTACTTATCTGATAATCCTTAAACAAAACGAATCCAGAATTAATTTTCTGAAATATTTTAGGTACTGATTTATTTAATAATGAAATATTCCTGCAATGGAAGAGAATTTCATTTTATTTTTGGTGTATTGTTTATAGTCTCAATGTAACTATGTAAGATTCAAAGTAATAATTTTTATAGAAAACTATATACAAAATTACAGAAAATGCCAAATTTGAAAAAAAAATTAAATATATATGTAAATATGTTAAAACAATTGTGTTCAAAACTTTTATTCGTTGCTAATAGTTTTCGTTGTGGTAATTTTGTATATCTTGTCACTTTGCCTCACAATTTAGTGAAAAATATTAGGATTTATGAAAATAGCATCTGTATAACTGAAAAGTTAATTTTTTTTCCAATGAGGAACTATTTATGAAAAATGTGGTTCATAACTGTTGAACAATATCAAGCTACTGAAAGAAATGTGGATATCAAAAAACCATTTGTATTGAAATCAATAGTGTTTTTGCTTAACATTTTCTTTACTTCCAGATCAGGTTCTGAGGACGTATACTCAGAGAAAGAGCAGCTCCTACATGAGCTAAGTGACTTAACAAAGGAGTATAAAAATAAAAATATGGTGGAAAAGGACAGGACTCCTGAAATAGTTGTAAGACACACACCTTCAGAAACTGTTTAATTGGATAGTTGGGAATTACCTAGCAAGAGCAAAGATATCAATGTATTGCCTTCTACATCAGGTAGTACCTAACGAAAGAGGAAAGAAGGGCAACTTTCAAAATAATGTCTGCAGTTCTTCAAGAAAAGCAACATCATGAAAAGGAACAGAACGAACTACAAACAGCGTGAGATAGAGGGAGAGAGAGAGAGGAGAGAGAGACAAAGAGAGAGAGAAAGAGAGAGAGACACAGAGAGAGACACAGAGAGAGACACAGAGAGAGATAGAGTCAGAGATAAATATCATGTAAAGTGGAGGAACAATTGAATGAAAAAAGCAAGAAATTCTGGCAAGATTGCAGGCAGAAAAGGAAAGATAACATCGAATGGAGATAGAAAGAATGCAAACTATGTTTGAAAAATTAATTGAAATTAAATAAAATAAAGTAAATATCAGTGATGCTCACTTTATTTCTTTTTAATTGTTATAATTAACCCCTCATACTTTTTTCCAGCCGATTAGAAAATGGCCGGGGGTCAAGTAATCGAAATCATTGAGATTATCACCATGGCCTCAATCTGAAGTGATATGGTGGTATTTCAATGACGTAATGTTTACTTCCCAGAAGCCACAACAGTGGGCACTCCTATGGGGATTGTATGGGTTTAGCGAAACAAAAATCAGCTACTTGAGCTTGAAACTAAGATGGCTGTAGAAGCGTGAATAGAGCTTGTATTTTTTGTTGGCACCAACAGATGCTGTGCCGTTGTTTGATAAAATGGAAACGGGTAGACCACGGCGGGAAATGAACCTCTTGAAAGCTATTAAAAAGGCACTGGTTATCAAAACTGAAACAATTTCAATGTGCATAGCATGAGTGACCATGCATAAATACAATGCAATGTACACTTTGGAGACCGTTTTCTGCTCGGACTTCCGTACCTAACCAAGAAATGTCGAGTTTGGTCTACACGTACTGACTGGAAAATGAGATTTGGGTTTACTCTGACAGCTGGCATGTCAGCCATCAGTTGTTGAAGAGGGACCGACTTGTGATGAAAACAAGCGGCACAAGATTTTAATGTGTTTACTTGTCTCAGGGCAATCAGTGCTTTTGAACAAAGTCCTAAATTCAAGCACAGGGAAGGCACTGTTTAATGTTGCTAATTCATTTCAATTCAGTCCTATCCAATTCTGATACTGACAAAGGCTCACAAAGGGATACACGATCGCACGCCCTAATCCCAGGAGGGGAGACTAGATTTATGAGCCTGAGAACGTACGCCATGACTCTCAGCAATTTCTTAAATGAGCCATAGAAATGACAAGATTCTGAGCTGTAGGTAGTGTGATTGCATTCATAACTTGCGCTCTGCTGCGCACAAAAATAACCCTTAAACTGCTACGGGCCGGCTGTCTGTAAGTCACCAGTTTTGCGTCATGCTTCTCGCCGGGATCCCGTTGTGAGCTCGTCCGCACTGAGATATCGCACAAAACATCTCAGTTATCAGTGAGACCTAGCGATAGCCGGAAGCGTTTCTGATTTGAGTGAGCTCGCTCAGGGGCTCCCAGTGACAATCTGACTGAGCATAATAACTCGTCCAGAGGCTACCACGCACGGATATATTTGTGTATCAACTCTTCTAGAACAGCCAAATGGTTAAGAGGGGGGAATTTATGCACTCTAAAATGATTCTGGCGTCGGTCCAAAATGTAACTTTGAGAATTGACAATTTTGAAGAAATGTCATCCTTCACTCTCATCATCAATCTAGCTAGCAACATTGCATCTCATAATTCTAAGCGTGGAAGAGTTAATGAAATGTTCTTAGTTTAGGGTTTCATATTTGAAGGAAATACTTTTGTTTTGGCACACAGAAGCCAACGACAATGCAATCTTCTGTAGAAACAAACTTAACATAAGCAGTAGCACCATACGCCGTGAGGCTGCTGTCTGAAAATCCATGAAGTTTGATCTCCGCATTGATGAAGTGGTTAAGTAAGATAGCGAGTCGAATATTTATTGCCATTGACTAGACAATTCAGAGGGAACAGGGTCGTCGCTGTATAAGGAGTACTCCCACAACCTTTGAAACAAAGACTTACAAATAATTACAAATGGTGCTCAAATACCTAATGGATCAAACAAGCTACAAATAACAGACATAACATTTCTTTTAGTGAACTTAGAATTTATAACAGTAACCTCAGTCAATACAACTGACAAAGAATCCAAGGTGTCTGTATGCGCACCGCGCGTCCGTGTCGAACGAGCGCATGCAGACGCGGTACTCGCCTGGTACCCACCTCTCACGCGGCGCCACGCACGATGATGAGCCAACAGCGTAAGACTACTGCTTGCTATAGACGCGCACAGCACACACACATATCGGCTTCCGGTAGCTCACACGATGTAGCCAGACTGTTACTAAAATAAAGGGCTAGAGGACCACCTCGTAAGAGGAAATGAGGGATCGGCCGAATGATAACGAAGAAGCAATATTAGCTTAAATATTAATTTTAATTAATGAAGATAAAAGAGATTGATAATGCCTCTTGAAATAATAAAATTTAATGTGGATTGATGACATTAAGCTTACGCTCTAAGGAAGAATATGAAAAACAAAGCAATTAAAAAACTATACAAATATGCGTGCCGAGTCCGAGCGGTGAATTACTAATAACAGAAAACTAAATCTAAAACTTAATTAGTACTTTACAAATGATAATTTATAAAATTAATTGACACAATTAAAGTGACTAAGATATCCATAATCCAATGAATGATTCTTATTGGTGACGAGAAACACTTCAATCCTATTAACGATCTTCTATTGCTTAGAGCTTGGCTCGGCACCTCAGAGGCAGAAACAGGTCCCTGTTATTTGAAGGCGCTGAGCTCGTCCCGATTATTGTCGGGGCTTAGCACTCGCTGCGCAGAGGTCAATGAACACGTACAGTGCGCCTCTGAGCGAATGCTGCAAGTCCCCGGACACGATGACCAGGCAATGCGTGCTTTCGTGGTCTAATGTGATGTGATGTGGGCATCCATAGTCCTACCGAATGCCGAGATGGGCAGCCTTAGTCCTGAATATCGGTGATGTGGGCAGCATATGGCCCTGAATGTTATGTTATGACATGTCTGCTCTGCTCTTGTCACATGTTTTGTCTTCACATGTCAAAATCTAAATCTGGCGGGGCGCGGTGGGGGGATGGCGCGGGCGGTAGTAAACCGCGAGCTTGCTTGACCACGTACTCCAAGAAGTGCCCAGCGTGTTTACTTGTTCAGCATCTCTTGACTGAAGTATTTTCACACCGGAGCTAGCTAACAAATTTGTGGGTAAATCCGCTAAAGCTTCGAAGATGTTGGATGCCCACTTTCTGAGAGTAAATCCACCTGCTGTTAGAATTTGAATCAAGTGATTGAATGCTTCCTTCTAGGAAGGCACGCCATCACAAGAATAAAACATCAACATAAAATGAATGTTGAATTTCTGAGCCTAGAGGCTACCTAGATTTCTTGTTTCTCTGGCTAACTGCAGCAGGGTTCGAATAGCAAAGAAAGTAGCTGATTTTAAACCATAGGCGACTGTCGCAAGAATATAGTCCCTCGCAGTTCTGAGGGTAAATCTCTCCATAAAATATGTTGAAAATGCCTATCTGTGGGTGTTACCTGGACTTGACTGCATTTTTTCCAGATCTGACACGATGGCTATCTTTCCTAATTAAATTGTATATGAATATCAAACAAATATGATTGGGTTTTGCCACCATTAATGATGAGATCATGCAATGAATTGCTTCTAGTGCAGACCAATCATATACTGTTCTGAGTCGCGTTGAGCTAGCGTGAGGCTTTAGAATTGCAATATGGGGGGACATAATAAGCGTCATTAAAGGTGTCAGGATATGCTAGGCGCACACCGAAATCTAGATACTCCTGTATGAATTATTGATAAACCTGTTGAAAGTTTCTATTCTTTTCGAATCTACGCTCTAGAGCATGAAGTCTTTTCTTGGCCTGTACCTTTGAATCACCTAGCATGGGTGATTCTGATTTGAGGGGGAGGGGAAAAAATGTACCTTCCGGTTTCGTCCCTTTTATGAGTGGTGAGCTTTGGATAATTCTTCGTCTGAATATCTTGAATGTATTGGGGCGCTTTTTCCACCTCACAGAATTTTTGATAGTCTATGACAGCTCAAATCGGATATTAAAAAGTAGAATTTGAATTAGTAAGTGCAGGACGCCGAGGAGTGTGACCTGCAATAACCCAACCTAACGGGTTTCCTGTAAAGTGGGAAACTTCCCGTCGCATCTTTTCTTATTATTGAGGAGCAAAGTGGAAACAAATATGTCTGCACCAAGCAGAACATGAATAGCCTCACATTCATTAAACAGGGGGCAGACACCACGAACTGGGATCAAAAGTCTAAGCGATGTGGAAAGATCAGGTACTACAAACAACTCGATGGTTTTAGACCAAGGGTTGTTATCGTGGCAAAACTGAACTATTAACTGAACAACATGGTTTTCGAACTGGCTTGGGATTAAAGCCGATTGTCACAGTGTTAATATTAAATTCCCTCGAGGTCAGTTATAGGGTTTTCACTGCTTTCCACGTGAATTCCCGCTGTCAAGAAGGGCATTTAAATTGTAGGGGTCCCCTTAAGGGGTGAAACCCATGAGTTTAGCAGTAGATAAGAGAGCACCCCATCCTGCACTAATGGTGCTGGCAGGAGACAGAGCATCCGGCGGGG